AGGCAGATACCCAAAGGAGGAGGCACAGGATTGGGGAAACTGGAGGAAGGGACAAAGGTACAATCCAGGACTTGAGGGGGATTGTCAACTGCTCCTATCATGCTGTTCATGAACACTGGGGAACATGGAGTCAGTCCACAGTACACACAGGTCAGGGACTCCCTGGGCCGGAATCTGAAAACAGGACAGTCTCAGTGGGCTTCTCAGCCTGGACTTCAGATCAAAGACTGGAAAAGGTGAACTCTCCCTGCACCCCAGTCCCCATTGAAGCTTCCTACCTGAAGTTTCCACTTTGGAGCAATTGAGGGGAAATGAGGAGTGATAAAGAGAAGGAAGAAAGGGGAGAGGTAGCAGGCAGGGGAGAAGATCTATACGCCCTGGCCCTGGCAGAGAACCATCTAGCCCGCCATCAGCGCGTAAGGGCGCGTCACTTCCACAGCCTTCCCCGCACCAGCAGGTGCTCTCCGCCCCAAGCACCTTATGCACAGCCTCGGGGGTCGTCTGGGCTCTCCTGGGTCTGCAGTCCTCACCCTCCACAGCGGTCGCCCAGCGGCAAGGCTGGCCACAGGTCCGCAGGTCTCCCCTGCAGCAGCCCTCCCCTCTTTTCCCACAGGTTCCTTTGCCAGCACGTTGCCTACGTATCAGCGCTCAGAGGTGATCCTCTTCATTATGAGCAAGGTCCCGCTGCCGTCCCTGCACCACGCCATGGAGACAGGGAGGACAGGGTGAGCCTGCCTCTCCGTCCTCTCCCTCCTGCCTCCCGGCTTCCCCTCCCCCTGTACCTGGGCTGTCTCCTTTCTCCCCCTCAACTTTCCTGGTTCTGTCTTCACTTCTCATCTCTTTCTACTCTCATGGCCCTCAGCAGCTTTAGAGGGACCCGTGAATCCCACAACAGTGCCTCAGTCTGCTCCACCCACTTTGGGGACAGCCATTATTTCCCACTCTGCTTCCTGCCTCTGGGAGCTACTGTCCTGCATGACCTAGCAAGAGGGCCCCATGGAGGCCCTAATCAGCAGAGAGGACTGAGCGGGCAAGAGTGGGGTTTCTGCCCATTCACCATCCTGCTGGGCCTTGTGTCTGGCCTACAGGGAGAACAGGAACCGGCTGACCCAAATCATGCTGCTGAAATCCCTCCTTCAGGTAAGTCTCTCTCCTGCTCTGTCTCTGCAAGAGGCAGCTGCTTCCAAGGAACCTGGCCAGGGAGGTGACCCACATGGCACGGCAGACCTCCCCTGACCCGCCCGCTGCTCCCCTCAGCAGTGTACTTCGTTAGTCAGCCTGTTCTGCTCCCCACTCTGCTTCTGGTAAATCCTCTCACCGCCTCTGCACCTCTGGCCTATACCCAGTTCTTGTATACATAAATATATAAATCTTTTTAAAAAACAATTGCTATTCCCCTGACCAACTTGCCACAATATATAGATTCCCTAGAGATGTTGAGCTGTCAGTCTGAGTGGGGCCTGAAGTCTGGGTATGAAGCCAGATCCCAGGCTTACAACCCTGTGTCTCTGCTGCACATCTCACCCCTCGGTGATTCTCACTGTTACTCTTCCCTCCATCACGCCTCATCTATCTCGAGCATACCCCCAGTCATTTCCAAGACATTCTGATCCCCACACTACTCCTCACTGAAGAATAGTTCTCAAATAATTTGGTTTAATAGTTTTCATTAATTTGCATCCAGACTTCAAACTTCTCAGACTGAAATTGGAAGGTCTCTGGTCCATCAGACTCCCCTCCTCATCTTTCAGCTCTGTGTCTGTTCTAGGCAAGCTCAGCTCGCTGCACCCCCATTCCTGGCCCCCTCTCCCCCTTCACAGTAGTCTGCTTTCCAAAGGCGCCGTGCTGACACGCTCCAGCTGGTGACCTGCTTGGTCCGCTTGCACCTGCCATCTCTCTATGGGGTTTACCATCGTTAAGGTTACAGTTTGGGGTACATTCAGGTATCTCCCCCTCAATGAGCTGTGCTGTTTACTGTTGATGCCTCCCGGCTTTGCTGGATCCTCACTGACCTCCAGAATCACCAAAAGCATTGTTTTGCGGTATGGACTTAACATATTATAAAGATGTAAAAGCATAGTAAATATACTGTGCTGCCTCAATGTTTTCTGTGTATTCTCAGTGGAGCCGGGTATTCATGAGAATAGTCATCACCTGTGCACTAATGGGCTCGAACTTACAGTCCAGAGACTCCCCGGCTCCTGCCCACCTCCAGTGCTGGCAGGCTTTTAACAACTGTGTTCTGCTCACTGTCCCCACCCACCACGTCTGCATGTTCAAACAGTTGCCTCAGGCATCAGGGCCAGAGTGGAGGACAGGGAGCCGGCCTGGGCTGTGTTCCGTGAGGGTGGGTGCTTCAGACCCAGCTCTGCCTCCATCCTCTGTGCCCTCACCACATCTTAGCGGGCCACCTAAGCACAGCCGAGCTGGGCTCCCCTGCAGGTATCCACAGGCTTCCAGTGCAGCAACATGATGTCAGCCCTGCCCAGCAACTTCCTCGACCGCCTGCTCTCCACGGCCCTCATGGAGGACGCAGAGATCCGTCTCTTCGTGCTAGAGATTCTGATCAGTTTCATTGACCGTCATGGCAACCGTCACAAGTTCTCTACCATCAGGTGAACTTGGAGTCTCTGTTTCAGTTGACATGTGATGGGGGGAAAGACTCCCGATAGGGCCTCCCACCAGATGGGAGGACAATTTGGATGTCCAGTGAGACCCCTGGAGCCCTGGGAGGGGAGGGGCGGGGAGGGGAGACGGGTGGGGGTCAGGGACATTGATTGGAGATCTGGGAGATAAGAAGCAGCTACTAAAGGTAGTTTTCAGGTGGGAAGAAAAGAAGGGGGCTCAGGGTCATCAATAGAGACTGGGGAGATGTCAGAGAAAGAGAGGGAAGAAGAGAAAAATCTGGATCGATGCTTAAGGAAAGAGGAGAGGAATTGAGAACTTGGGAGAAAGTGGAGAGTGGGCTAAGAGCTAGTCCCTTAAAGACCAGCCCAGAGCAAGACCCTGACTCTGCAGTTTTGTAAAAGCTGAGTGAGGAGAGGTTGCGGCAGGCGCAGCCTGGGGCCAGCGTGAGGTTTGGTGCATAAGGTTGGATTCACGACTGATTTCCGAGGCTTAGAGGGGCGCTGGAGGGAGCTGCCCCAGCTGGGGGCCTTTGGAACTAGCCAGGGTATTGGAGAAGCCTGGTGACGCCACGTGAGCCCTGAGTGGCCTCATACAAGGGCTAACGTGGGCCCTCTCGTCACCCCCTCCAGCACCCTCGGTGACATCTCTGTCCTGAAGCTGAAAGTGGACAAGTGCTCACGACAGGACACCGTCTTCATGAAGAAGGTTAGCAAGAGCAACCTCGAGACACAGTGAAGCCTGGGAGGGGCAGGGCGGGGCACGGTTGGGCCCCACCTTCCAGTGCCCCTGCAGGCCACCAGAGCCTGTCTCTCCCCGCTTCCCAGACTGTGCTTACTTAGATGACCTGCTGACCCCTGGGGGGCTCGAGCCCCAAGGTCATCCTCACACCCAGGTCTGGTGAGCCAGCCTGAGTTCATCAACTCAGTTCTGCTTCTAGAAGTAGACGTGGGCAGCAGCTTCTGCTGTGGTTTCATGGGGCCTATTTCTCCTAAACACGGCTCCTGGAGGCATTCGCTCCCACAGCTCTGCTTTAAAGGCATCCTCTCCCTGTGGGTGGAAGTGGGGTACACCCATCTACCCCACCCCCCCCAGACTAACCTTCCTCCCTTCTCGCCTCTCCGGTCTCCACCCCTCGCTCCGCCCTTGCTCCCACAGCACTCCCAGCAGCTCTACCGACACATCTACCTGAGCTGTAAGGCAGACTCGAACATCCAGAAGCACTACGAGGCCCTCTATGGCCTGCTGGCACTCCTGAGCATCGAGCTGGCCAACGAGGAGGTGGTGGTGGACCTCATCCGCCTGGTGCTGGCCGTCCAGGTGGGGGCCGGGCTCTGGCAGGGACCTGTTTTGGCCAAGCATGCAGCAAGGTGCCAGGCACCCTACAAGGGGCTAAGGCGGCCTCTCCCGTCACCCCCTCCAGCACCCTCGGTGACATTAAGGAGCCTCGTGGCCATTGCTCCACAGAGACCACAAACCGCACGGAGGGATGCTTAACCCATCCGCGGCAGTCTACCTTCAGGCTAAAGGAGGGACGGTGGGATAGGCCCAGTCTGAAGCACTCCTGAGCCCCTAGTGTTTTAAGTCTCTCGCAGGGAGGGGCTGACTAGAAGTCCAGGGACTCCCAAGAGGGTGCTTATGAGCCCTGAGAGACCCCAGAACAGACTTATCTAAAGAAACATCACCTAGTTCCCACAGCGGCTGGTGCTTCAGCCTTAAACACGTGTGACAAATCCTTTGTCATCAGCTCTGCCCCCACAGACTCCCAAGCCTCCCCGTTGACTCAGGCAGCCAGTGAGGCCACCGTGTGGCACTAGACAGCACTTCAGGCTTAGGGGGCTGTCTGGGGCAGTTTACTGCCAAGAATGCTGGGAGTCTGGTGGGCCCTTCAGACCTCAAAGGCCAGGGTGTCCAAGCCCTGCAGCAGGTGGACGTCACCTTCTGAACAGAGGCCAAGAAGTGCAGTGGTGTGGCTCCAGACCACATGCTTGGCAGTGCTCAGCGCTGCACGGCAAGTTTTGGAAACCAGTGTTATCTCAATAACCTTTATTTTTTTTAAAAAGCCCTACACAGCCAGCCCTCCCAATTTGAGTCCCAGCTCCCTAGTAACTCCCACAACTTTCCCACATGTGAGCCCAGCTTAGCAAACCAAGCCAGCCCTCAAAAACTCTTCCCAGGTCTTCAGTGAGGAAACCCCTTTAGTAAGCCCCTAGTGTTGGGGCTTGTGGTGAGGTGTGGGGGGTCAGGGTGTCTAAGCTGGAGCTGCAGATGCCATGGCTGCGTAGTCAAGAATGTGAGAGCTTCTGCTCATAGATCATCCCTGGACCCCTCACTCCAGCTTTAACGAGGATAACTTCTTTGCCTCAGGAAGTTTGGGGCAAATTCTAGAAAAGGCTCAGTCTGGAGAAGTGAGTCATCTTTAAAGGGCAGGTGGGGGCTGAGGGGTGGCATCCGTAGAGCTTGTCAGGGAGAAACTGCTGAGGCCCATCTGCATCGCCCCAGGATGTGGCCCAGGTCAACGAGGAGAACTTGCCGGTGTATAACCGCTGTGCTCTCTACGCTCTGGGCGCTGCCTACCTGAACCTCATCAGCCAGCTCACGACGGTGCCCGCCTTCTGCCAGCACATCCACGAGGTGGGTTCCTCGGGGCCCTGAGAGCTGGGGAGGCCCCTGACCAGAGTCCCCTGGAACTCTCCCTTCATTGCTGCGCCCCTTGCTTAGTGCAGGTGGGGGTGAGCGTTGATGTAAGGGCGAGAGGTCACGGCACATTAAGTGGTCAGCAATGCTTCAGTATTGCCTCATACCAAATACCATCAAGTGCTGTCATATGTCACAAAAAGACATTTGAAAACATGCTGGAGTATTTGCAGGTAGGATTTGATGGCCACAATGGGCTGTGAAAACCAGCAAAGCGAGCTGTAACAAAAGGACCCCCAGGCTCAGCTGGCTGGGCAGACTGGGGGCATGGAAAAGGGTGCTGATCACTGCCAAAGACCTCCCGACGGAGGCAGACTCTTTCCAGCCTTAGGGATGATGAGGGAGTGCAGGAAAGTCAATGCCTGTACAACCTCATTGTGAAAATAGCAGCAGCATTGCCTCTGTGGCATTTCCTGCACGCACGTGTGGGCCACAGAGCCCGCTTCCTCACCTTCGTAAAAACATTCACCTCATTAGAACTTTGCAAAGGAGGGGCCCTCCCTGGTGGTGCAGTAGGTTAAAGCACAGCACTGCAAGCTACTTGCAGTCACTTCAGTGTGAGCTGGATCCCCACCCTGGAGGTGGCCCACATGGCACAGCAGACCTCTCCCTCTCCTGACCCACCCACTGCCGCCCTCAGCAGTGGACTTTGTCAGTCTGCCTGTTCTGCCCCTCATTCTGTCTCTGATAAACCCTCTCACCATTCCTGTGCCCCAGTTCTGTATGCATAAATAAATCAATCCTAAAAAAAAAAAAAAAAGAACTTTGCTACGGAGACTGAGGGAAACTGAAGATGTCACTGTCCATCAGGGACAGGTTCTGGAGTGGGCTCGGAAGTGGCCACTACTTAAACCCTATTTAAACATGAGTCATGTTTGAATAGGAAACAGGACTGTCCAGGACTGTCTCAGGAGCAAGACACCGCAGCCCCCTCTGCGGGGAAGACACTCAGGGCATGTGTGTCACCGGGCTCCTCAGGCTGCTGGCCTGGTGCAGCTGAGCTGACTCCCTCAGCCTGGCTCTGCCATGTGCTCTGCCACGTGGTGGCGAGGGAGGAAACACCGGGAGGACCCAATCTTACCAGGATCCCTTCCCCGTGCCAGGTGATAGAGACCAGGAAGAAGGAGGCTCCCTACATGCTCCCTGAGGACGTGTTTGTGGAGAAGCCAAGGTGAGGCGACTCGTGCATGCTCAAGGCCCCCAAAGCAGCCGAGGAAGAAGGTGGGGCTGGGGTCTGAAGCCAGGGACTTAGGCTCCTCCCGGCTCAAGGGTAGACGGTAGACCCGTCTGTGACCCTGAAGCCTTGGGTCAAGGCCGACCCCGTCACCTGGCTGAAATCCACCCCCGGAACAGGCTCGGCGCTGTCCCTGAGGGTTGGCTATGATGTGGGGGTGTCACTCAGCCCCCGGGGGCTCCTTGGTCCGACCTGGGGGAGTCGTTCCTGATGCTCTGCCACGGATCCTACTCCAGCATCCACGGGGCTGAGGCAGAAACATTCTAGAGAAACAAACTGTCCGGCAAGGAGAGTTAGACTCACCCACACAGTAGACCGGGTTGACGGGCCTCTGGCTAGAGCAGTCGTACAAACAGATCGGGGGCGGGGGGGAGCCCAGGTGTGGCAGCACTTGGTGTGTGGGCACGTGGCTGCCGGAGCCAGCCCGTGGGAGACGTGCTTCTGTGGAAAGTGAACAGGGCGGTGGCTTTTGCTTCTCTGTCGCTTGCGTAACGAGCGTTAGTTCCGTAACAAGGAAAGCCACCAGGAAGCCATCCCAGCGCCCGGCCTTCTAACTCATCTCTCCCCTCCGCTGATGTCCAGGCTGTCTCAAAACCTTGAAGGAGTGGTGATTGAGTTTCTCTTCCGCCAGAGCAAGATCAGCGAAGTCCTGGGGGGCAGTGGTTACAACGCAGACCGGCTCTGCCTGCCCTACATCCCGCAGCTGACCGGTATGCACCCAGGCCACGCACTTCAGGCCTGCCTCTGGCTCTTGGCCGGGATGGCCCGAGTGTTGGGAACTTGCAGGTCACCTTCCATGGCCCTGCAGGTCACCCTAGGCTGAGAGGCATGCTGGGCGCCATGGGACAGCAACTGATTTCCCCACACTCCTCCTCGGTGTAGGGAACTGGCCCACAGGCGGCCTGGATGAGAATCCCCACTGGGCCGAAGGGCACAGAATCAGAGGCCCAGTTCTGTGGCTTCCTGAAAAGTCTTAGACGAGTCTCCTGGCATCTGAGTTTAAGTCCCCTTGACCATACAATGGGGATGTTAGCAACACCTGCCCGAGGGGGCTCACGCAGGGGTGCGTGAGCAGCTGAAGGCAGAGGCACTTAGGAAGCTCCACACAAGCAGCAGCTGTTAGCCGGTGACGCAGATGGGACTTGGGAGAAGCCTTCTGGTCCTGAGCCGCTCCAGGGTGCTCCTGGATCATTCCAGAGTCTTGGCCTAGTGAGCAAAACTCAGCACCCTGCGGTGGGCAGAGAAGGGCTCGGCTCCATCGGCAGCTCTGTGTGTCCACGCCCTGGGAGCACTGTGGCCAGGCAGAGGGCTGGGGACGGAGCTGGAGGCGTGACCCTGCGCCGTGCTCGGTGCGGGCTGGGAGCTCCAGCTCTGGGCTTCTCCTTCCCAGATGAGGATCGCCTATCGAAGAGGAAGAGCATTGGAGAAACCATCTCCTTGCAGGTGGAGGTGGAGTCCAGGAACAGCCCAGAGAGAGAGGAGGTGAGTGTCCTGCTTTGGATGTGCTCTCTGTCCAGGGGAAGCCGGAGGTCCCCCAAGAGGAGGCTCCTCCCCTTTCCTGTGTGGCCCATGCTCCAGACCCCTGAAGTACAAGTCCGCAAATAACTCCTTTTCTTACTTACTCTCATATATATTCCCATCTGGAAAAATCCTTTGTCTCACACACATGAGGAGGCCATAAAGTCACTGGACAGACACCCCACTTGTGATGGAAAGAGACATGCTCCTTGTTAGAAACAGGAAGGCCAGTGTGCGAGATTAGGGGGAGACAGGCTCATAGGGTTTCTCTCATGGAGAAGTGACAGCGCTTTTCTGAAGAGAAAGCTGGAGCTGAACCCTCCCTCCCCTCCTGTCTTGAGGACCGTGACTATCTAAGGCCTGTTCACAGTCACTTACAATCTTCCCCTGCTGCTATTTCTCCTGTCTCAGAAAATAAGGCAACTATACCCACCAGTAAGAGAGGATAAGGCATCAGAGTGGAAACACCAAATTTCCTCCGCAAATGAAAAAACACAGGAAGGTGGCGGAGGCCACGGAGCCCGGAGGGCTTTTTTTTGCTTTTAGAGGTGACTTTCCCCAGGAAGGGGACACACAGAGGCAAGGGAGAAGCTTCAGTGGGAAGTGGGGAGGATGCACACCTGGGAGAGATGGAGACTTGGGGTCCATTGCCACAGACACCCCAGCGCTCCCCAGTTCCTGCCCTTCCGGGCTGGGGTAGCCATGGAGCACAGAGTCAGCCCCGAGCCTTTCCCCAGAGGCGAATGGAGCAAGAAGTCTTTGGGGCCCAATCAAGCCTCCCTATGACTGTGACCTCAGCCACTTTAGTAAACTGTTGCTCATTCACCCCACGCCACCCATTCACCTCCACATCTTTGCTAGTACGGACGCCCACGTCTGGTTCACCCTTCCCCTCTAACTGCTGCGCAGATCACCCACATTGGAGACGGCTAGTTTGCTCCACAGGCTCCCAGCACCCGCCCTTGCCCGTGATGTTCGCTCTGGCACCCCGCATGGTTCCCTTGTACATTGCACCTGAAACGGCCGGTGCTAAGCTTGGCTGGTGCAAGGTGTGTCCTGGGAGTGACAGCAGGCGAGCCTAGTTCCTACGTTGCCACGCTGCGTGATCCCTGCTAAAATGACCGCATCTTGCCCGGAGTTGGTGCTCACTTGGCGTCTGTTGAGCAGCTTTATTCCACATCTGCACGGCTGTCCTTTCCTGCTCACACATGATGACCAAACCACTCAAAACAACCACTCAAGTGCAGCCCAGAGCATTTTCACAAAGGGAGTCTGCCTGTGCCCTCACCCCAGCTCTGGGCGGGCATCCTTGCCAAGAGCCCCCCATCCTGCTCTCCTCTTTCCCAAAGGGCGCCACTAGCCCTTTGATCCTGCCGGATTGACGTTAATGGGATTGTTCTCTCCTATGTCTGCTTCTTTCACTTAACATTGTATTTACGTGCCAGTGTGTGAATCAGCCACAAGACTTACTCAGCTCAGTGTCTAGTGGAAAATTCCTGGAACTAGTCGGACCCAAGACACACCCGCGGGGTACCCTGCTTTGAGTTTCATTCTCACCTCTTGTAATGGGCCCTGCAGAGGCCTGAGATCTAGCCCAGTCCTTGAGCCAACCTCAGTGGTCTTACTCTATTAAATATTCAGATGTCCTTGGTGGGTCACTGAGTATCAGAAGTCTTCAAAAACATCATTCAGTACTTGAAGGTGACATTTGAGACTGTATTTGCAGCTGCCTCCTCTTGCGTCTAACACTATTTTGTTTTCTGGAAATTTTAAAAATTATGATGTGCATTTTCTACCCACAGGAGGTGATGGGACAATGGGGGGGGCAGTGAGAATTCTTGGCTCTGATGAGGAATTTGCCTCCCAGCCTCCGTGTCCCTGCTCCTCATCTGGCGGCCCAGTGCTGCCTGAGGAGCCTAAGGAGTCCCTGGTGAGGACGTGGGTGTCCTGAGGGAGCCCCCCATCACGGCCTTTGAGAAGCCAAGGGGCTTCCAGGTAACTGAGCAGGCCAGGCCGTTGCACCCCTGCCTCCCTGAGCCTTTCTGTCCCCTGTCTCCAGAGGGTGCCCGCGGAGGAGATCACCTACGAGACACTGAAGAAGGCCATCGGTGAGTGGGCAGCCGGGGGCTCGGGAGCCGGTGGGGGGCAGGGTGCGCGGAGCCGGAGCTAGCCTGCAGGAGGGAGAGAGCACAGACCAGAGCCAGCCTGCAGGAGGGAGAGAGCACGTACCGCGGGGAGAGGCCAGGCCTGGGGAACACGGCCTCACCACCAAGCCGGCCATAGAGATCCTTCCCCCAACGGGGCTGTGGCCTCGCGTGCCCTCTGGCAGGTGGCCCTTCTGCCGTGACAGCCGCCTCGACAAGGAACTGACTGGGAGTAGACAGCAGTCTTGTACGAGTAGGTGGACCCCCTCGCTCAGCAATGTGCTGCAAAACAAGCTGGCGGGGTGAGGACTCGGAAGGACTGGACTGCGCGCGCTCGCGCGGGTGACGGGACAGCCCGCGGCCGTCCTGCCGCGCCGCGCCTGCCTTCCGGCGGGGCAGTGTTGCGAGTGGACTTTCCTGGTAACCGATGCCGGACCTGACGGAGCCTCTCCTCTCGTCACAGTGGTCGGTGTTCATCTTTCCAGTCGCGCACAGGCGCTGCCCTCTTGAGTGGCGCGGGAGGGACACCCCGGGCCCCTCCTTTTCTCTTCCGCTAACTATTTCGGAGCCAGGAGGAAGGTGTAGGGCCAGATGGCCGCAGGCTGCTCTGAGCAGATGCTGTATGGGTCTTCTGTGTTGGCTCTGTGGTCTCGCCCGTGTCAATGTCCCGTTATATTAACCCCAAGCACGCCCTGTCCCAGGGCACTCACGGAAAGGCCCTGCTGGCGGGCAGCTGCCGGGGCTTTGCGAGCCGGGCCTAGGGTCCCTTAAGCACCCTGGCGGCCTGGCTGGGCCGCAGGCAGAAGCAGGAGAGCGCCTCGCCTTCCCGCCTGCAGGGCCGCCTGCAGCGGCAGGGGAGAATCTGCGCTCTCTGTGAGGTGCTCCCCGAGGAGCACACCCCTCCCCCCATCTTTCAGCCCCTCGGGCCTCTGCCCTGGGTCAGCAGGTGGGGCCTGGGGGCTGACCGGCTTTCTGTGCCGCAGTGGACAGCGTGGCGGTCGAGGAACAGGAACGTGAGCGGCGGCGGCAGGTGGTAGAGAAGTTCCAGAAGGCGCCCTTTGAGGAGATCGCTGCACACTGCGGGGCCCGGGTGAGTGGGGCTAAGGGGGCAGTCCCGAGGCCCAGTGGGACTGATGCTAGGAGATCTTTGCACACTTGTCCCCTAGAAATTAGGGCTTGGAGTCCAACAACACACTGCTTTCCCAGGAGCCAGGAAGTTTGAGTATTAGCCATGCTCTGCTCTAGACCTCTGCTCACATCAAGAGAAGCCCTGGCCTCAGGGGCTCCTGTATCAAAGGGACGGACTGAAATCATCGTGATCCTAGTAGAAAGTACTTCAGTAGCACTTAGCGTGCGCCACGGCATTCCCCTTGTGTGCTTATTTCATTTTCACCACTCTATGACTGTGTGTGGATCCACACAGGGGCCACAGCAGAGGGAAGCTGGCGCGAGGGAAGGAGCCGCGGCACAGGGAAGGTGGAGCCAGGGGAGGAGCCGCAGCA